AATCACTCAATTGGCTGGTAACGCAACGCGACCGCTAACGCTAGCGAATCGCGCGATTCGCAAGGTCTGACATCGGCCTTTAGCTCTAGCCAGGCTAGTCCTCCTTATCTACCAAGCGAGATGATGTTGAGCTAACCATAAGCCTCAAATCCAATCATTGGTTATTAAATTGACCCACGCTCGTGAGCTATTGTCATTCCCACAACGCCTTCAAAAAAGCATTTCTGAATGGAAATCAAACGCATGGCGTATGCCAACATGTACAGATCATAGCAATCACTACGGTGCATTTTCAGCGGACCCCTGCCACTGCCCGGGACTAACGCATGGCGGAAGAAGAAGTCTTGAGAGTTGAACAGTTGAAGAAGTAAAACAATAAGTTTCGTCTCAGGAAGGAGCAGAAGGAACCCTTCAGCTGCTTCATTTACAAAGGTTTTATCTTTCTTACTTGGGTGCTTCATTCAGCTAGTGGTCGGTGCAAACGAACGGAGCGATAATCTGTTATCAGCTCTCAAAAGGTGATTACGAACTGATGCAAACCTCTGAATTGATTTGCACTCGTAAGGGTCGAAAGAGCGAAGGCAGGAGACTGACTTTGCAGTGGCGCTGACGTTCGAGACTGAGCTACGGGCAGAAAAGAAATCTTTACAGTGCCTCAGAAATGCAAAGCAATTCTGCATTGCAATTCATTTAATGACGTGGTGTAAGTCGTTCGAAAGCAATCTCAGACACAGCAAATGTTCAGCAGAGAATGCCAGCTTTTTTTCCGGCAAGGCTACACGAAACTGACGTTGGCAAACCAGATACTTATCTTGCTACTCGAGGGTTTTTTCTCATTTTACACAAAGATCTGTTCTATGGATGGAAAACCTGTTTTGCAAAGAAAGATCTGTTACACCTTTTTTTGCCGTTGGCTGCACAGAGAAAACGAACGAGCTGGGTGGTCTACACTTATAGCCCCTTTTTGAAGTGTGACGCTCATGTCAGTTGCTTTCAGAATCATAGAAGTGTTTTGCATCCATATCGTGGTCACGGTGGAGCGTATTTGAAGGGCAGAAGTAGCGTGGTAGCATATGACGGTACCTACCAAAGACCCAATCCAGGGATCGAACCTTTTGTACGGCGCTATCGCAAGATACGGGGTCATCCTCTAAAGCGAAGCCTAGGAGAACAGCAGAAATCTTCTCGGGACAATGAAAATTGCCCACGCACCACTGGATCCCCTCTCCTCCCACCGACTAAGGCTTGTAGCACCCATTCCTAACGACAAGAAACATATCTCCACGTCGTTTTTTCCTTTAGCCGAAGCAACAATGCCAACAAGAAGCAGATTCAGGGTCCGAGAACAACCATGTTCGTACCCCAAAGCTTCTGCTCTTTCCTAGGCATGGTTTTAGAGGATGTCCCCGTATTTTGCGATAGCGCTCCTTTATAGTACAACACCAAAGCCAACAGATACTTCAATCTCTTTTCCATCGAGGACTTAACACTTACTTGAAGTTAAAGGCAAAAGTCGGGCTCAATAAGGGGGTATTATGGCGATTGAAACTGAGTATAGAGATGCGAAGTGGAACGACAGTGGAGAAAAAACTGAGAAAAACCGTCGACAAGGCCGTTAACAAAACCCTCTTTCCCACTAGCAGTGAAGGAGGCTGGCTTGGGGAAAGAGGCACGTACAAACAAGTTTTCTGGAGATGTCAGTCGTTCTATCGGTTGATACGGCAATCAACCTAGCTGATTTCACACGTTATGCCAGCCACGCACCACTTCCGGAGGTGGGCGGTCCTGGATTGACCAGGCGGCCCTGGATTGAAACCGAACGCCCCGGGGCCTTAACGGGGTTTTTCAAGGTGGGAAGTTGCTGCAATGTGTGCAGCTACCCACATACAACCTCCAGGCACGGGAATTACTTCTCTAGCGTGCCATTTCAGTTATTGACGTCAAGGATTATTTTGCACTATAGACATATGGTGTTGCAAAAAGTCGCTATGATTCTGACGGAAGTAATCGTTTCCGTGGCGTATCCCAAAAAATATTGTACAAAGCCGGATCCTATAATTCTATTATGTCGTATGGCTAGATGGCAAAGGCCATCTCCTTATATGATGTTCCATTAGTTCTTCATCTTCCAAAAGTGGCCTGTGCCAAACCGCAAACCGTTCAAGAGGACATGGGACCAGCGCTTGAGATCAAATATAATTCAAATAATATGAGAAGCTAGGCCATTTTGCTAACATGATGCTCTATTTGCATATCATGGCATGAAGTTAGCCACTGCCGTAGTGAAACTTCTTGTTTTAAAGCTTCAGAATGGAAGGCAGTAGAAGCTAGAGAAAAATTCGGGTCTAGTGCCTAATAAGGGGCGACTTGCCTTCTTCATGCTCGAAAATCCAGCTAAGCCTCCAATAAAAAAACCATTTCTAAAGCAGTTAGCTTTTGCGATAGCTTTTGCCATATGCAACGTTAAGCCTTTCCGAGGTCATTTAAGTTTATCAGGCCAGCTGCAGCTAACGTTTCGCCGTCTTCGTCAGAATCCGTAATGGACAAAAACAAATGGACTCGGTTGCTCAAACGCCTGACCAGTTAGCAAGGAAACCAAATAGACATGTAAATGAAAACAATAAACAACAATCCTCGATACACACAACAAAATAATTCATCAAACATGCCAAGATTGAAAGAAAGTCGAACATAAATCATTTGGAAATTAACATCTAAATATTAACACCATTAACATCTTTGTTTTCTCAGTTTTGTTTACAGCACTATTCTGCTTTTTATTTATATTTTTAGTGTTCTCCTACACACTGTTTTTTTGTATCCTTGGATTTGCTACTACAAAATTCCATCGATTTGCTGAAATTCTCTCACGTGGCTCTTGCTCAGCGTCTTAATAAAGTAAATAAATAAATAAATCTGAATCAGCGACATTCCTGTGGCCCTACATAATCACTCTGAAGGCTGTTACTTAGGTTAATTTTCCGACTTCACTCGCTTTGGCGAGCTAAATAAAAAACCCA